CATTCGTTCCTTAATTCTTGTCTTTCTTTTAGAATTTTATCTCTTTCCAATTCTTCCTTTCATATTGTTCCTTTTTTCATTCTTCTAACTTTCTTTAGTTTCTTCTTTTTACTTTCTTTCTGGGCGATTTTTTGCATTGTTTCTCGATCTTTGCCTTCTTTCTTTCTTTTTAGCTTTTTTCTTTTCTTACTCCTCCCAATTCATTTTATTTCTTTCTTTCTTGCTCTCACTTATATTACAGTCTCGATTTCCTCTCTTTATTTTTATTCGTTTGCTTCTTTCTTTCTTTCTTTCTTTCTTTCTTTCTTTCTTTCTTTCTTTCTTTCTTTCTGTTACGATTAACTCTATTTCTCCCAATTTCATTTCTTTCTTTCACGATTAAGTCTATTCCTTCCACTTTTCTTTCTTTGTTTATTTCTTTCATTCTTTCTTTCTTTCATTCTTTCTTTCTTAAATCTACTTCTCCCAATTTCCTTTCTTTCGTTTTTTTCTTTCAATTTTTCTTTCAGATCCTTTTTAGTTTTTCTTTGTTTCTAAGAAAAAGAAAACATTCTTCTACTACACTTCACACAACAAAATTCTCGAGAGTCAATCAAGGTAGAGGCTTATAGTTAAAATGTTTGTGAGGAATGAGGTGTGAATGAAATACTGGGTGACAGGAAGTGTAAATTATGAGGATGGAGACGATAAATAAAGTTTGAGACTTGACTTGAAGATGTTCAATGTTCAATATTTTATATAATCTAGACCAGGAGCCTTGATTAGCAGTCTGTCTTACAGTCGAACAGGCAAATCGTTTCTGGCTATTTCTGTTGGGATTAGTTGTAATGTCTCATTGTATTACTGATAAAAAATGAACATGGCCGACAGAAGAACTGGTTCGTTCCTGTGCAATGACCCACCTACATTAAAATATTTAAGCTTAATCGACGTTAAAGTGATTAAACCACAGAATTATCCTTCCACTTTTTGTTTCATTTACTCGGCTTCATACGCTCAAGACATAATGTCGCTCGCTCTGCACTAGATATTATTAGGTTGGTGCAAAAATAATGACGTAATAATGTCGTTTTTGGATGTATTTTTTAACGTCAAAAAACGACATCATTACGTCATTATTTTTGCACCAACCTAATATAATGTGTTGAAATAGTTTCAAGGATTTTATACAGGTGGCATCAAATATTTGAGTCAAATTGCTTACATTTCGAAGGGTGATCATTTTCACTTTGAATTGATATTCTTGTCGATTTTAGCATAGTCTTGTGTTTTCTAAAAGCGGCGTATCCAAGTATTATTCCATGTTTTATTGTAACTTCTTGTTCGTTCTTTCATATGTTGTGACCAACATATACAAATTCAGTCACTGGATCAATTTTTATTCAGTTTATTTCGCTATTATGTTCAGTTTATAAGGGGTGTTCCAAAAAATTGGACTGATTTTATATGTGAATTAAGTTTCAGCGCCTAATGATTTTTATCTTTTTTCTTTCAGATTTAACAACGTAAGTCATTGAAAATTTCAACCATGGAAAGATTAACAATCAACGTGTTAAAGTTACTGAAGCTATTAAGAAAATGGACGTTCAAAGAGAATGCATTTCACGCACTTCGCGATTTATTTGGTCAACATAATCAACCAACTGAGAGTGCAATTGGAAACGATGTGACGATGTTGTGGAGAGGTTTAATTGTGGAGGCACGGTGGAGTAATGAATAGCGGCTTGGACTGAAGGAATCGGAGAGCCGAGTTCGTATTCCAGTCGAATCCATTACATTCACTTACGTGCTAATACTCTTGGGAAAGGTGTGAATCCTCTTCTTCTCCCTCCAGCTATGGGTAAATAGCAGAACAGACTGGGTTCTATAGCGTTGGATGGCAACTGGTCTAGGAGAAGGACAACTCTGAATTTAAAACCTGCGGAGGGTCGTTTGGGGACCTTTTGGCACGTAGTGCACCAGGTCTCTGTATTCGGCCCTTCAAAGAGTGTGGATGGTCCTGCACGTAACCTTCACCACTATAATCAAATCTCATGTGCTATACACGCGGGTTGGGGACCGCTTGTGAATTCCAAATTCCCATGAAACTCCAATATTGGAGCCGGCTCAACCCACCCCGGGTGAATGCCGTTACAAGAACGAGAAGAAGGAGGTTAAATTCCTGCGTGCGATGACGGATAGAGGTGTCTTGATTTTCGGCCACATTCTCGTGAACTGCAGCCATGTTTTCAGCTGAACGACGTAAACGAGCACGCAGTGGTGTTTTCACATCTGCCGCCGACCCAATTTACAATTTTTTCAATTGCGATCTTGAAACTTTGTTTGATTGTTACTCTTTCCGTGATTGAAATTGCCAAAGACTTAAATTGTCAAATCTGAAAGAAAAAGAAAAAAAAGTCATTAGACGCTTAAACGTAATTCACATTTAAAATCGGTCCAAGTTATTGGAACACCCTTTACAACCGAAGAGTGAATATTCTCTTAGTGAGGCCTAATGGTCTTAAACTCAACTCAGACATCAAGTGAGAGCTCGTGCATACGATTCCTCGCTAAAGATGCAGGGAAAATAGTCGGTTCCCTGTAACGCTCCAGTATTATACCTGACTCCTCGTGCTATCTTTACAAGATCCAGATCAGGCCTAAAACGGAGTAACGCTGCCATATATGGACAGGAATTACACAGTCTTCCCATTCCAATCTCGTCCTGAGTATGACGATAAACTACATCCGGCAGCAAGGTCTCTAATCAGGAGGTTTTGAGCAGCCTTGAACCACCTCTTAATTGCTGGTGTTCACAGGTCCACCCTGACACGGGGTGGTAGCACCTGTTAGGGTCCTAGCTATTGGCAAATAGTTAACACCCAAACTGGGGTCGAAACATTATGAAGGTGTAAAAATAGATTTTAATACCAGCAATAGATTTTTGGGAAAAATCCCAGCAATTCATTTGGAAAAGAAAATATTACCAGCAAAAAAAATTTTGTTGGCACTAAATAATCCCACTGAGGTTGATATGCCGTAAAACAAACCAAACCAAATGTTTCTATCTCGATAGAGTCTAAATCGGCTCCGCGTCCTTGTGGGTGACAAATTATTTTCCACCATACAACCCCTTTCTCACAGACGAAACATGGCAAGCTTAAAGATAAATAAAAATAAAATACATTTGAACAAATTTATATATTATATTAGTGCATTAGAGCCACGAAGACGCAAGGATTAATGAGCGTGAAAGGAAAATCATTATTAAAAGTAGAGAAACATAAAAGAAGAGCAATGAAGAAAACAGAAATTAACAATTGCATTAAAATGTTTGATAGATAAAAGTTGAATATGTAAGCAAGAGGCCGGAAGAGCGTTTTTTACAAGCGAGAAGAAAGAGAGAAGAAACTGTTAAAATAGAACTTACGGTAGCGTAGATTGGTATTCTTGTAGATTCCAACATATATTTTCCTTTCGTCATAATCGCTTTTCCATCTCTAGGTTTTTGTTTTCCTCTTGAGAAATTCTTTTATTTAAATCAAATTTGGATTTCTCCATTATTTCTCCTTGCCTATGAAATGTCCTTTATTTTATTCCTGTTAATAGCTCTTTACATTTAGTTGATTCATTTGCTTTTTTTCCTGGCTTATCATTTTTTTAAATCTTTTCTCCTCTCTTCTTTCGATTTTCTTCACTCACCTTGATTTCTGACCACCATTCCCCGTCTTTCAGTTATATTCTCCTATTACATGCCATTCTCAACTTCTAAGGTGTTTCAGAAAAAAATGATATACCTTCGCATTCGAAAAACTTGATCAATTCTCGTTCTAATGATCATAAATTTTAACAGCCTATGTAGAAACAAATTAAAAGGGCAAAAGGATCTGGACGACCACCAATATATTGGAAGAAATGGTCAAGTGGGTTCGGGAAACATTTTTGCGAAACGCCAGGAAGATTCGTATTCTTGTTGATTCCAACATAAATTTTTTCATTTACTTCTTTCGTCATAATAGCTTTTCCATCTCTAGGTTTCTGTTTTTCTCTTGCGAAATTGTTTTATTTAAATCAAATTTGGATTTCTCTGTTATTCGTGCTGGCCTAGGAAATATCCCTTCTTTTCTCACTCTTGCAAATCATTTCTCCTGTTAATATCTCTTTACATTTAATTGATTCATTCGCTTTTTTTCCCTGGCTTATCATACTTTAGCCCCCCCTCTCTTTCGATCCCCCCTTCTGACCATCATTCCTCGACTTTCAGCCATATTCTCGTATTACATACCATTCTCAACTTCTTAATATACACCTTGTATATTAAGAAGTTTCAAGAAAAATGAAATAATTTCGCATTCGAAAAACTTTACCAATTCTCGTTCAAATGATCACAAATTTTAACGGAAACAACCCAAAAGTTTATTTTTAAAATTTTATGTTTGTTTCTTTTCAGCTATAGAAATGCCATTCATTGGGAAAGAAATCGAGTTTTGTATTGTTAGAGAATGTTCGCACACAGTTGATCAAAAGCAACTTTAATGCAGATTTGGACATGGCACAAAAAGTTCAAGGAGGAAGAACGCTGCCTGTGCAAAGGGTAAAAAGATCTAGACGACCACTACTATATCGGAAGAGATGGTCGACCTGTTACAGGAAACTCTTTTGCGAAGCGTCAGGAAGTTCATAAGAAGAGTAAATCTGGAAATCCATCTTCCACCAACGGCAGTGTCGAAAGGAAACGCTTGCAAATGACACCCTACAATATGAAACTTGTTCAGTCCTTAAAGACAGATGACAAGCAAAACATATTCTCGTATTATATACCATTCTCAACTTCTTGTTTGACACCTTGACACATTCCGTGTGCATTTGTGAGAAAATTCGCTAAAAAAAGCAACAAACTGTAATGCAAATTTGGGAATGGTTCAAAAACTTCAAAGAGGAAGGTTGTCTGTGCAGGGCAAAAGGATATGGACGGCCGCAAGTATATCGAAAGAGATGGTCGAGCGGGAAATCCATAGAAAAAGAAAATCTGGAAACCCAGCTTCCTCCAACGGCAGTTTGCAGTGTCGCAAGGAAACGCTTGCAGATGACGCCCTACAATATGAAACTCGTTCAGTCCTTAAAACAGATGGGAAGTGCTCGGACAAAATACATACTTTGTTTCCTCAATTTCTATCCATTTCGGCCAGGAACCGCCATGCCACTTACATTATATCAAAGCACCCATATTACCCCCGTATTCCATTAGCAAAAAGTAAGTTCCTCTCGTAAAACCTCTTCCCGCGAACCATTACTCTGTGGAACTGACTCCCAAGAGATGTTTCCCCGATCACTACAATCTTAACGTGTCCAAGTCTACGGCTAACTGTTATATTCCCCTCATATTCACAATGTCACCCTCTATCTTGAGGAGTCCCAGAGACTTGTACACGGTGAGCCTTTTTGTAAAAAATATAAATGCTCCAATTGCAATGCAAATTTGGAAATGGCACAAAGATTTCAAAGAAGAAGGCTGTCTGCGCAGGGTAAAAGGATTTGGACGACCATCAGTATATCGGAAGAGATGGTCGAGCGGGTTCGAGAAACAGTTTTGCGAAGCGCCAGGAAATCCATAAGAAGGGCTAATCTGGAAACCCAGATTCCACCAATATGTCACAGCATGTTGGGTACGAGCTGGACTACTTACTTAACATATGCCGTGTCACTGTCAGTGCACATATTGAAATCATTCATAAAATCCACGTATCTGTCTATATTTCTGAGATGAGGTATTATGTAAACTATTTACATTATTCGGACTATTGTCCACATCTTTGTCGCCATATTTATTACAACGTTTCGAAGAAGGCCGGAGTGTACAGCGGCCGGAACGTTGTAATAAATATGGCGACAAAGATGTGGACAATAGTCCGAATAATGTAAATGTACCATTGAATTTCTCATCCAAATTTCAGATTTTGATGAGTAAAGCTTATTTTTATCGGCAATAAAAATTTAGATTGATTTTCCCAGACTACGTAGTTACTCAGATATTTATATCTCAAACGATATCAAATGTTCTGAAATATCCTTCATATTTATTTGCGTTTTATAACTTCCAGTTCTTATCGCGTTTTATATTTATTCATTCTTCTCAGTAGTCTTTCCTCGTCTTCTCTGACTTTCATCCATATTGTCTTATTCCATACATTCTTAACTTCTCCTTAATATATCTTCTTCTTCTTCTTCTTCTTCTTCTTCTTCTTCTTCTTCTTTATATTTATTTCTCTTCTCTCTGCCAGCACTTATCGCTATTTTTCCTCTCTTTTTTTCTCAATATTATTTTTTCCTCTTTTTTCTATAGTCGTTCTTTGACTCCCATCCATATTGTCTTATTCCATACATTCTTAACTTCTTAATATATCATCATCTTCTTCTTCTTCTTCTTCTTCTTCTTCTTCTTCTTCTTCTTCTTCTTCTTTATATTTATTTCTCTTCTCTCTGCCAGCACTTATCGCTATTTTTCCTCTCTTTTTTTTCTCAATATTATTTTTTTCCTCTTTTTTTCTATAGTCGTTCTTCTTCTCCCATCCATATTGTCTTCTTCCATACATTCTTAACTTCTCCTAAAATATATCGTCTTCTTCTTCTTCTTCTTCTTCTTCTTCTTCTTCTTCTTCTTCTTCTTTATATTTATTTCTCTTCTCTCTGCCAGCACTTATCGCTATTTTTCCTCTCTTTTTTTCTCAATATTATTTTTTCCTCTCTTTTCTATAGTCGTTCTTCGACTCCCATCCATATTGTCTTATTCCATACATTCTTAACTTCTCCTTAATATATCGTCTTCTTCTTCTTCTTCTTCTTCTTCTTCTTCTTTTCTTCTTTATATTTATTTCTCTTCTCTCTCTGCAGCACTTATCGCTATTTTCCTCTCTTTTTTCTCAATATTATTTTTTCCTCTAATTTCTATAGTCGTTCTTTGACTCCCCATCCATATTGTCTTATTCCATACATTCTTAACTCTTCTCCTTAATATATCGTCTTCTTCTTCTTCTTCTTCTTCTTTCTTCTTCTTTATATTTTTTCTCTTCTCTTATTCCAGCACTTATCTTCTTTTCTCTCTTTTTTCTCAATCTTATTTTTCCTCTTCTTTTTCTTCTAGTCGTTCTTTCTCTCCATTTTTTCTTATTCTCTCTTTTTTTATCTCTTCTTCTTATTTTTCTTCTTCTTTTTTCTATTCTTCTTCGTTCTTTATATTTATTTCCTCTCATCCATTATCCTTCTTATTCCATTTCTCAATATTCTTAACTTCTTCGATATATCATCTTCTTTCTTCTTCTTCTTCTTCTTTTTCTTCTTCTTCTTCTTCTTCTTCTTCTTCTTTTCTTCTTCTTCTTCTTATATTTATTTCTCTTCTCTGCCAGCACTTATCTTTTTTCCTCTTTTTTTCTCAATATTATTTTTTTTTCTCTTTTCTATAGTCGTTCTTCGACTCCCATCCATATTGTCTTATTCCATACATTCTTAACTTCTCCTTAATATATCGTCTTCTTCTTCTTCTTCTTCTTCTTCTTCTTCTTCTTCTTTATATTTATTTCTCTTCTCTCTGCCAGCACTTATCGCTATTTTTCCTCTCTTTTTTTCTCAATATTATTTTTTCCTCTTTTTCTATAGTCGTTCTTTGACTCCCATCCATATTGTCTTATTTCATACATTCTTAAATTCTCCTTAATATATCGTCTTCTTCTTCTTCTTCTTCTTCTTCTTCTTCTTCTTCTTCTTCTTTATATTTATTTCTCTTCTCTCTGCCAGCACTTATCGCTATTTTTCCTCTCTTTTTTTCTCAATATTATTTTTCCTCTCTTTTCTATAGTCGTTCTTTGACTCCCATCCATATTGTCTTATTTCATACATTCTTAAATTCTCCTTAATATATCGTCTTCTTCTTCTTCTTCTTCTTCTTCTTCTTCTTCTTCTTCTTTTCTTTATATTTATTTCTCTTCTCTTTGCCAGCACTTATCGCTATTTTTCCTCTTTTTTTTCTCAATATTATTTTTCCTCTCTTTTTTCATAGTCGTTCTTTGACTCCCATCCATATTGTCTTATTCCATACATTCTTCTTTCTCCTTAATATATCGTCTTCTTCTTCTTCTTCTTCTTCTTCTTCTTCTTCTTCTTCTTTATTTTATTTCTCTTCTCTCTGCCAGCACTTATCGCTATTTTTCCTCTCTTTTTTTTCTCAATATTATTTTTTTCCTCTCTTTTTCTATAGTCGTTCTTTGACTCCCATCCATATTGTCTTATTCCATACATTCTTAACTTCTTAATATATCATCTTCTTCTTCTTCTTCTTCTTCTTCTTCTTCTTCTTCTTCTTCTTCTTCTTCTTCTTTATATTTATTTCTCTTCTCTCTGCCAGCACTTATCCTTTATTTTCCTCTCTTTTTTTCTCAATATTTTTTTCCTCTTTTTTTAGTCGTTCTTTGACTCCATCCATATTGTCTTATTCCATTTTTTCCTCTCTTTTCTTCTTCTTCTTCTTCTTTTCTTCTCCCATCCATATTTATTTCTCTTCTCTCTGCCATTCCTTTATTTTCCTCTACTCATTTATTTTTCCTCTCTTTTCTATAGTCGTTCTTTGACTCCCATCCATATTGTCTTATTCTTCTTCTTCTTCTTCTTCTTCTTCTTCTTCTTCTTCTTCTTCTTCTTCTTCTTCTTTATATTTATTTCTCTTCTCTCTGCCAGCACTTATCGCTATTTTTCCTCTCTTTTTTTCTCAATATTATTTTTTCCTCTCTTTTCTATAGTCGTTCTTCGACTCCCATCCATATTGTCTTATTCCATACATTCTTAACTTCTCCTATATCATCTTCTTCTTCTTCTTCTTCTTCTTCTTCTTCTTCTTCTTCTTCTTCTTCTTCTTTATATTTATTTCTCTTCTCTCTGCCAGCACTTATCGCTATTTTTCCTCTCTTTTTTTTTCTCAATATTATTTTTTCCTCTTTTTCTATAGTCGTTCTTTGACTCCCATCCATATTGTCTTATTCCATACATTCTTAACTTCTCCTTAATATATCTTCTTCTTCTTCTTCTTCTTCTTCTTCTTCTTCTTCTTCTTCTTTATTCTTTCCTTCTTTTTTATCAATTTATTTTTTCCTTCTCTCTTAGCTCTTATCTATTTTTCCTCTCTTTTTTTTTTCTTCTTCTCAATATTTTTTCCTCTTTTTCTATAGTCGTTCTTTGACTCCCATCCATATTGTCTTATTCCATACATTCTTAACTTCTTTTCTATATATCATCTTCTTCTTCTTCTTCTTCTTCTTCTTCTTCTTCTTCTTCTTCTTCTTCTTTCTATTTTATTTCTCTTCTCTCTGCCAGCACTTATCGCTATTTTTCCTCTCTTTTTTTCTCAATATTATTTTTCCTCTCTTTTCTATAGTCGTTCTTTTGACCCATCCATATTGTCTTATTCCATACATTCTTAACTTCTCCTTAATATCTTCTTCTTCTTCTTCTTCTTCTTCTTCTTCTTCTTCTTCTTCTTCTTCTTTATATTTATTTCTCTTCTCTCTGCCAGCACTTATCGCTATTTTTTCCTCTCTTTTTTTTTTCTCAATATTATTTTTCCTCTCTTTTATAGTCTTCTTTGACTCCCATCCATATTGTCTTTTCTTTCTTAACTTCTCCTTCTTCTTCTTCCTTCTTGTCTTATTTCTTCTTCTTCTTCTTTATATTTATTTCTTTCTCTTTAATATATTTTTCTTCTTCTCAATCTTTTTTTCTTCTTAGTCGTTCTTTCTTCTTCTTCTTCTTCTTATATTTCTTCTTCTTCTTCTCTTCTTCTTCTTCTTTATATTTATTTCTCTTCTCTCTTTTCCTCTTTTTCCTTTTTTTTTCAATATTATTTTTTCCTCTCTTTTCTATAGTCGTTCTTTGACTCCCATCCATATTGTCTTATTCCATACATTCTTAACTTCTCCTTATATCATCTTCTTCTTCTTCTTCTTCTTCTTCTTCTTCTTCTTCTTCTTCTTCTTCTTTTTATATTTATTTCTCTTCTCTCTGCCAGCACTTATCGCTATTTTTTCCTCTCTTTTTTCTCAATATTATTTTTCCTCTCTTTTCTATAGTCGTTCTTTGACTCCCATCCATATTGTCTTATTCCATACATTCTTAAATTCTCCTATATATCATCTTCTTCTTCTTCTTCTTCTTCTTCTTCTTCTTCTTCTTCTTCTTCTTCTTTATATTTATTTCTCTTCTCTCTGCCAGCACTTATCGCTATTTTTCCTCTCTTTTTTTCTCAATATTATTTTTCCTCTCTTTTCTATAGTCGTTCTTTGACTCCCATCCATATTGTCTTATTTCATACATTCTTAACTTCTCCTTAATATATCGTCTTCTTCTTCTTCTTCTTCTTCTTCTTCTTCTTCTTCTTCTTCTTCTTTTATTTCTCTTCTTCTTCTTCTCTCTGCCAGCACTTATCGCTATTTTTCCTCTCTTTTTTCTCAATATTATTTTTTCTCTTTTCTATAGTCGTTCTTTGACTCCCATCCATATTGTCTTATTCCTTACATTCTTAACTTCTTAATATCATCTTCTTCTTCTTCTTCTTCTTCTTCTTCTTCTTCTTCTTCTTCTTCTTCTTTATATTTATTTCTCTTCTCTCTTTTATCGCTATTTTTCCTCTCTTTTTTCTCAATATTATTTTTCCTCTCTTTTTCTATAGTCGTTCTTTGACTCCCATCCATATTGTCTTATTCCATACATTCTTAACTTCTTAATAATATATCTTCTTCTTCTTCTTCTTCTTCTTCTTCTTCTTCTTCTTCTTCTTCTTCTTCTTTTCTATTTATTTCTCTTCTCTCTGCCAGCACTTATCGCTTCTTTTCCTCTCTTTTTTTTCTCAATATTATTTTTTGCCTCTTTTTTCTATAGTCGTTCTTTGACTCCCATCCATATTGTCTTATTCCATACATTCTTAACTTCTCCTTAATATATCATCTTCTTCTTCTTCTTCTTCTTCTTCTTCTTCTTCTTCTTCTTTTTATTTCTTCTCTCTCTCTGCCAGCACTTATCGCTATTTTTCCTCTCTTTTTTTTCTCAATATTATTTTTTCTCTCTTTTTCTATAGTCGTTCTTTGACTCCCATCCATATTGTCTTATTCCATACATTCTTAACTTCTCCTTATATCATCTTCTTCTTCTTCTTCTTCTTCTTCTTCTTCTTCTTCTTCTTCTTCTTCTTCTTCTTTTTTTATTTCTCTTCTCTCTGCCAGCACTTATCGCTATTTTTCCTCTCTTTTTTTCTCAATATTATTTTTTCCTCTTTTTTCTATAGTCGTTCTTTGACTCCCATCCATATTGTCTTATTCCATACATTCTTAACTTCTCCTTATATATCATTCTTCTTCTTCTTCTTCTTCTTCTTCTTCTTCTTCTTCTTCTTCTTCTTCTTTATATTTATTTCTCTTCTCTCTGCCAGCACTTATCGCTATTTTTCCTCTCTTTTTCTCAATATTATTTTTTCCTCTTTTTCTATAGTCGTTCTTTGACTCCCATCCATATTGTCTTATTCCATACATTCTTAACTTCTCCTTATATATCTTCTTCTTCTTCTTCTTCTTCTTCTTCTTCTTCTTCTTCTTCTTTCTTCTTCTTTATATTTATTTCTCTTCTCTCTTTTATCGCTATTTTTCCTCTCTTTTTTTCTCAATATTATTTTCCTCTTTTTCTATAGTCGTTCTTTGACTCCCATCCATATTGTCTTATTCCATACATTCTTAACTTCTCCTTATATCATCTTCTTCTTCTTCTTCTTCTTCTTCTTCTTCTTCTTCTTCTTCTTCTTCTTTCTCTTTTTATTTCTTCTTCTCTCTTTTCTTCTTTTTTCCTCCTTTCCTTATCCCATCCATCTTTTTCCTCTCTTTTTTTTCTCAATATTTTTTCTTCCTCTCTTTTCTATAGTCGTTCTTCTCTCTTCCCATCCATATTTTCTTATTCCATACATTCTTAAATTCTCCTTAATATATCTTCTCTTCTTCTTCTTCTTCTTCTTCTTCTTCTTCTTCTTCTTCTTCTTCTTCTTCTTCTTCTTTATATTTATTTCTCTTTCTCTCTGCCAGCACTTATCGCTATTTTCCTCTCTTTTTTTTCTCAATATTATTTTTCCTCTCTTTTCTATAGTCGTTCTTTTTGACTCCCCATCCATATTGTCTTATTTCCATACATTCTTAACTTCTCCTTAATATATCGTCTTCTTCTTCTTCTTCTTTCTTCTTCTTCTTCTTCTTCTTCTTCTTCTTTATATTTATTTCTCTTCTCTCTGCCAGCACTTATCCTTATTTTTCCTCTCTTTTTTTCTCAATATTATTTTTTTTCTCTCTTTTTCTATAGTCGTTCTTTGACTCCCATCCATATTGTCTTATTCCATACATTCTTAACTTCTCCTAATATATCATCTTCTTCTTCTTCTTCTTCTTCTTCTTCTTCTTCTTCTTCTTCTTCTTCTTTTTATTTATTTTCTCTTCTCTCTTTTTCAGCACTTTGATCCCATTTATTTTTCCTCTCTTTTTTTCTCAATATTATTTTTCCTCTTTTTTCTATAGTCGTTCTTTGACTCCCATCCATATTTTCTTATTCCATACATTTCTTCTTAATATCTTCTTCTCCTTCTTCTTCTTCTTCTTCTTCTTCTTCTTCTTCTTCTTCTTCTTCTTCTTTATATTTATTTCTCTTCTCTCTGCCAGCACTTATCGCTATTTTTTCCTCTCTTTTTTTTTCAATATTATTTTTCCTCTCTTTTCTATAGTCGTTCTTTGACTCCCATCCATATTGTCTTATTCCATACATTCTTAACTTCTCCTAATATATCATCTTCTTCTTCTTCTTCTTCTTCTTCTTCTTCTTCTTCTTCTTTCTTCTTTATATTTATTTCTCTTTTTTCTATAGTGCCCCATCACTTATTCCTATTTTTAACTTCTTTTTTTCTCAATATTATTTTTTCCTCTTTTTTTCTATAGTCGTTCTTTGACTCCCATCCATATTGTCTTATTCCATACATTCTTAACTTCTCCTTTAATATATATCTTCTTCTTCTTCTTCTTCTTCTTCTTCTTCTTCTTCTTCTTCTTCTTCTTCTTTATATTTATTTCTCTTCTCTCTGCCAGCACTTATCCTATTTTTTCCTCTCTTTTTTTCTCAATATTATTTTTTCCTCTCTTTTCTATAGTCGTTCTTCGACTCCCATCCATATTGTCTTATTCCATACATTCTTAACTTCTCCTTAATATATCTCTTCTTCTTCTTCTTCTTCTTCTTCTTCTTCTTCTTCTTCTTCTTCTTCTTCTTTTTTTTTTTTCTCATTTATTTTTCTCTTCTCTCTGCCCCATCATATTGTCTTATTCCATACATTCTTAACTTCTCCCTTTCCTCTTTTTTTTTCTCAATCTTCTTTTTCCTCTCTTTTCTATAGTCGTTCTTTCTCTCCCATCCATATTTTCTTATTCCAATACATTCTTTTCTAACTTCTTTGACTAATATATCATCATTCTTCTTCTTCTTCTTCTTCTTCTTCTTCTTCTTCTTCTTCTTCTTCTTCTTCTTTATCTTTATTTTTCTTCTCTCTGCCAGCACTTATCGCTATTTTTTCCTCTCTTTTTTTTTTCTCAATATTATTTTTCCTCTCTTTTCTATAGTCGTTCTTTGACTCCCATCCATATTGTCTTATTCCCTACATTCTTAACTTCTCCTAATATATATTCTTCTTCTTCTTCTTCTTCTTCTTCTTCTTCTTCTTCTTCTTCTTCTTCTTTTCTATTTTATTTCTCTTCTCTCTGCCAGCACTTATCGCTATTTTTCCTCTCTTTTTTTTCTCAATATTATTTTTTTCTCTCTTTTCTATAGTCGTTCTTTGACTCCCATCCATATTGTCTTATTCCATACATTCTTAACTTCTCCTTAATATCTCTTCTTCTTCTTCTTCTTCTTCTTCTTCTTCTTCTTCTTCTTCTTCTTTCTTTTATTTCTCTCTCTCTCTGCCAGCATTTATCGCTATTTTTCCTCTCTTTTTTCTCAATATTATTTTTCCTCTTTTTTCTATAGTCGTTCTTTGACTCCCATCCATATTGTCTTATTCCATTACATTCTTAACTTCTCCTTATATCATCTTCTTCTTCTTCTTCTTTTTCTTCTTCTACTTCTTCTTCTTCTTCTTCTTTATATTTATTTCTCTTCTCTCTGCCAGCACTTATCGCTATTTTTCCTCTCTTTTTTTCTCAATATTATTTTTTCCTCTCTTTTCTATAGTCGTTCTTTGACTCCCATCCATATTGTCTTATTCCATACATTCTTAACTTCTCCTTAATATATCGTCTTCTTCTTCTTCTTCTTCTTCTTCTTCTTCTTCTTCTTCTTCTTCTTCTTTATATTTATTTCTCTTCTCTCTGCCAGCACTTATCGCTATTTTTCCTCTCTTTTTTTCTCAATATTATTTTTTCCTCTCTTTTCTATAGTCGTTCTTTGACTCCCATCCATATTGTCTTATTCCATACATTCTTAACTTCTTAATATATCATCTTCTTCTTCTTCTTCTTCTTCTTTATATTTATTTCTCTTCTCTCTGCCAGCACTTATCGCTATTTTTCCTCTCTTTTTTTCTCAATATTATTTTTCCTCTCTTTTCTATAGTCGTTCTTTGACTCCCATCCATATTGTCTTATTTCATACATTCTTAAATTCTATCTTAATTCTTCTTCTTCTTCTTCTTCTTCTTCTTCTTCTTCTTCTTCTTCTTCTTTATATTTATTTCTTCTCTCTGCCAGCACTTATCGCTATTTTTCCTCTCTTTTTTTTTCTCAATATTTTTTTCCTCTCTTTTTCTATAGTCGTTCTTTGACTCCCATCCATATTGTCTTATTCCATACATTCTTAACTTCTTAATATCTTCTTCTTCTTCTTCTTCTTCTTCTTCTTCTTCTTCTTCTTCTTCTTCTTCTTCTTTTTTATATTTATTTCTCTTCTCTCTTTTTCAGCACTTATCGCTTCTTTTTCCTCTCTTTTTTTCTCAATATTATTTTTCTCTCTTTTTTCTATAGTCGTTCTTTGACTCCCATCCATATTGTCTTATTCCATACATTCTTAACTTCTCCTTAATATATTCTTCTTCTTCTTCTTTCTTCTTCTTCTTCTTCTTCTTCTTCTTCTTCTTTATATTTATTTCTCTTCTCTCTGCCAGCACTTATCGCTATTTTTCCTCTCTTTTTTTTTTCAATATTATTTTTCCTCTCTTTTTTCTATAGTCGTTCTTTGACTCCCATCCATATTGTCTTATTCCATACATTCTTAACTTCTTAATATCTTCTTCTTCTTCTTCTTCTTCTTCTTCTTCTTCTTCTTCTTCTTCTTCTTCTTCTTCTTCTTCTTCTATATTTATTTTTTCTTCTCTCTGCCAGCACTTATCCTTCTTCTTTATTTTTTCCTCTTTTTTTTTCTCAATATTATTTTTTCCTCTTTTTTTTTCTATAGTCGTTCTTTGACTCCCATCCATATTGTCTTATTCCATACATTCTTAACTTCTCCTATATCATCTTCTTCTTCTTCTTCTTCTTCTTCTTCTTCTTCTTCTTCTTCTTCTTCTTTTCTATTTATTTCTCTTCTCTCTGCCAGCACTTATCCTTCTTTTTCCTCTCTTTTTTCTCAATATTATTTTTCCTCTCTTTTCTATAGTCGTTCTTTGACTCCCATCCATATTGTCTTATTCCATACATTCTTAACTTCTCCTTAATATATCGTCTTCTTCTTCTTCTTCTTCTTCTTCTTCTTCTTCTTCTTTTTATCTTTATTTTTCTTCTCTCTTCTCTCAGCACTTATCGCTATTTTTCCTCTCTTTTTTTCTCAATATTATTTTTTCCTCTTTTTCTATAGTCGTTCTTTATTACTCCCATCCATATTGTCTTATTCCATACATTCTTAACTTCTCCTTATATATATTCTTCTTCTTCTTCTTCTTCTTCTTCTTCTTCTTCTTCTTCTTCTTCTTCTTCTTTATATTTATTTCTCTTCTCTCTGCCAGCACTTATCGCTATTTTTCCTCTCTTTTTTTTTCTCAATATTATTTTTTCCTCTCTTTTCTATAGTCGTTCTTTGACTCCCATCCATATTGTCTTATTCCATACATTCTTAACTTCTTAATATATCATCTTCTTCTTCTTCTTCTTCTTCTTCTTCTTCTTCTTCTTCTTCTTCTTCTTCTTCTTCTTTATATTTATTTCTCTTCTCTCTGCCAGCACTTATCGCTATTTTCCTCTCTTTTTTTCTCAATATTATTTTTCCTCTCTTTTCTATAGTCGTTCTTTGACTCCCATCCATATTGTCTTATTTCATACATTCTTAACTTCTCCTTAATATATCGTCTTCTTCTTCTTCTTCTTCTTCTTCTTCTTCTTCTTCTTCTTTATATTTATTTCTCTTCTCTTTGCCAGCACTTATCGCTATTTTTCCTCTCTTTTTTTCTCAATATTATTTTTCCTCTCTTTCTATAGTCGTTCTTTGACTCCCATCCATATTGTCTTATTCCATACATTCTTAACTTCTCTTCTTCTTCTTCTTCTTCTTCTTCTTCTTCTTCTTCTTCTTCTTTTTCTTCTTCTTCTTCTTTATCTTTATTTTTTTCTTCTTCTCTCTGCCATCCTTATCGCTATTTTTTCCTTTTTTTTTTTTTTTCTCAATATTATTTTTCCTCTTTTTCTATAGTCGTTCTATAGTCGTCTTACTCCCCCATCCATATTGTCTTATTCCTTCTTCTTCTTCTTCTTATATCATCTTCTTCTTCTTCTTCTTCTTCTTCTTCTTCTTCTTCTTTTCATATTTATTTCTCTTCTCTCTGCCAGCACTTATCTTCTTTTTTCTTTTTTTCTCAATATTATTTTTCCTCTCTTTTCTATAGTCGTTCTTTGACTCCCATCCATATTGTCTTATTTCATACATTCTTAAATTCTCCTTAATATATCGTCTTCTTCTTCTTCTTCTTCTTCTTCTTCTTCTTCTTCTTCTTTATATTTATTTCTCTTCTCTCTGCCAGCACTTATCGCTATTTTTCCTCTCTTTTTTTCTCAATATTATTTTTTCCTCTCTTTTCTATAGTCGTTCTTTGACTCCCATCCATATTGTCTTATTCCATACATTCTTAACTTCTCCTTAATATATCGTCTTCTTCTTCTTCTTCTTCTTCTTCTTCTTCTTCTTCTTCTTCTTCTTCTTCTTCTTTATATTTATTTCTCTTCTCTCTGCCAGCACTTATCGCTATTTTTCCTCTCTTTTTTTTCTCAATATTATTTTTTCCTCTTTTTTCTATAGTCGTTCTTTGACTCCCATCCATATTGTCTTATTCCATACATTCTTAACTTCTTAATATATCATCTTCTTCTTCTTCTTCTTCTTCTTCTTCTTCTTCTTCTTCTTCTTTATTTCTTTCTTCTTCTTTTTTTTTTATTTTTTTCTCTTCTCTCTGCCAGCACTTATCCCTCCATTTTTCCTCTTTTTTTTCTCAATATTATTTTTCCTCTCTTTTCTATAGTCGTTCTTCTTCTTCTCCCTTCCATATTTATCTTTCTTTCCATATCATTCTCTCTTTTTTTCTTCTCCTTAATATATCCATCTTCTTCTTCTTCTTCTTCTTTCTTCTTCTTCTTCTTCTTCTTTATCTTTTCTTTTCTTCTTCTTCTTCTTTATATTTATTTCTCTTCTCTCTGCCAGCACTTATTTTTTCCTCTCTTTTTTTTCTCAATATTATTTTTTCTCTTTTTCTATAGTCGTTCTTTGACTCCCATCCATATTGTCTTATTCCATACATTCTTTAACTTCTTAATATATCTTCTTCTTCTTCTTCTTCTTCTTCTTCTTCTTCTTTCTTCTTCTTTTTATATTTATTTCTCTTCTCTCTGCCAGCACTTATCCTTATTTTTTCTCTTTTTTTTCTCAATATTATTTTTCCTCTTTTTTCTATAGTCGTTCTTTGACTCCCATCCATATTGTCTTATTCCATACATTCTTAACTTCTTAATCTTCTTCTTCTTCTTCTTCTCTTCTTCTTCTTCTTCTTCTTCTTCTTCTTCTTCTTCTTTATTTTATTTCTCTTCTCTCTGCCAGCACTTATCCTTTTTTCTCTCTTTTTTCTCAATATTATTTTTTCCTCTCTTTTCTATAGTCGTTCTTTGACTCCCATCCATATTGTCTTATTCCATACATTCTTAACTTCTTAATATATCATCTTCTTCTTCTTCTTCTTCTTCTTCTTCTTCTTCTTCTTCTTCTTTATATTTATTTCTCTTCTCTCTGCCAGCACTTATCGCTATTTTTCCTCTTTTTTTTTCTCAATATTATTTTTTCCTCTCTTTTCTATAGTCGTTCTTTGACTCCCATCCATATTGTCTTATTCCATATTCTTAACTTCTCCTTATCATCATCTTCTTCTTCTTCTTCTTCTTCTTTCTTCTTCTTCTTCTTTCTTCTTCTTTTCTCATTTATTTTCTTCTTCTTCTTCTTCTTCTTCTTCTTCTTCTTTTTTTTCTAATTTTCTTTTTTCTCTTTTTCTATAGTCTTCTTCTTCTTCTCCCTTCCATTTATCTTTTTCCTTCTCTTCTTCTCTATCTATTTTCTTCTTTTCTTCTTCTTCTTCTTCTTCTTCCATCTTCTTCTTCTTCTTCTTCTTCTTCTTTTCTTCTTCTTCTTTCTTCTTCTTCTTTATATTTATTTCTCTTCTCTCTGCCAGCACTTATCATTTTTTTTTCTCTCTTTTTTTTTCTCAATATTATTTTTCCTCTCTTTTCTATAGTCGTTCTTTGACTCCCATCCATATTGTCTTATTCCATACATTCTTAACTTCTCCTTAATATATCATTCTTCTTCTTCTTCTTCTTCTTCTTCTTCTTCTTCTTCTTCTTCTTCTTTTTATTTATTTCTCTTCTCTCTGCCAGCACTTATCGCTATTTTTCCTCTCTTTTTTTTCTCAATATTATTTTTTTCTCTTTTCTATAGTCGTTCTTTGACTCCCATCCATATTGTCTTATTCCATACATTCTTAACTTCTCCTTAATCTTCTTCTTCTTCTTCTTCTTCTTCTTCTTCTTCTTCTTCTTCTTCTTCTTCATCTTTATATTTATTTCTCTTCTCTCTGCCAGCACTTATCGCTTCTTTTCCTCTCTTTTTTCTCAATATTATTTTTCCTCTTTTTTCTATAGTCGTTCTTTGACTCCCATCCATATTGTCTTATTCCCATTCTTAACTCTTAATATATCATCTTCTTCTTCTTCTTCTTCTTCTTCTTCTTCTTCTTCTTCTTCTTTATTTCTTCTCTCTATTTATTTTCTTCTCTCTTATTTTCCTCTTTTTTTTTTCTCAATATTATTTTTCCTCTCTTTCTATAGTCGTTCTTCTCCATATTTTATTCCATACATTCTTAACTTCTCCTTAATATATCGTCTTCTTCTTCTTCTTCTTCTTCTTCTTCTTCTTCTTCTTCTTCTTTATTTATTTCTCTTCTCTCTGCCAGCTTTTTCGCAATATTTTTTTTCCTCTCTTTTTTTTCTCAATATTATTTTTTCCTCTTTTTCTATAGTTCTTCTTCTTCTTCTTCTTCCCATCCATATTGTCTTATTCCATACATTCTTAACTTCTTAATATATCATCTTCTTCTTCTTCTTCTTCTTCTTCTTCTTCTTCTTCTTCTTCTTCTTCTTCTTCTTCTTTATTTTCTCTTCTTCTCTTCCAGCACTTATCGCTATTTTTCCTCTCTTTTTTTCTCAATATTATTTTTGCCTCTTTTTCTATAGTCGTTCTTCGACTCCCATCCATATTGTCTTATTCCATACATTCTTAACTTCTCCTTAATATATCGTCTTCTTCTTCTTCTTCTTCTTCTTCTTCTTCTTCTTCTTCTTCTTCTTCTTCTTTCTTTTATTTTTTCTCTTCTCTCTGCCAGCACTTATCATATTTTTCCTCTCTTTTTTTTCTCAATATTATTTTTTCCTCTTTTTCTATAGTCGTTCTTCGACTCCCCATCCATATTGTCTTATTCCATACATTCTTAACTTCTCCTTATATCTTCTTTCTTCTTCTTCTTCTTCTTCTTCTTCTTCTTCTTCTTCTTCTTCTTCTTTATATTTATTTCTCTTCTCTCTGCCAGCACTTATCTCTATTTTCCTCTTTTTTTTTTTCTCAATATTATTTTTCCTCTTTTTTTTTCTATAGTCGTTCTTTGACTCCCATCCATATTGTCTTATTCCATACATTCTTAACTTCTTAATATATCATCTTCTTCTTCTTCTTCTTCTTCTTCTTCTTCTTCTTCTTCTTTATATTTATTTCTCTTCTCTCTGCCAGCACTTATCGCTATTTTTCCTCTCTTTTTTTTTCTCAATATTATTTTTTCCTCTTTTTCTATAGTCGTTCTTTGACTCCCATCCATATTGTCTTATTCCATTCTTAACTTCTTAATATTCTCCTTAATCTTCTTCTTCTTCTTCTTCTTCTTCTTCTTCTTCTTCTTCTTCTTCTTCTTCTTTTCTTTTTTTTTTCTTCTCTTCTCTCTGCCAGCACTTATCGCTATTTTTTCCTTTCTCTTTTTTTCTCAATATTTTTTTTTTCTTTTTTTTCTATATTCGTTTCTTTTTTTCTCCCATCCATATTGTCTTCTTCTTTCCATACCCATTCTTAACTTCTCCTTAATATATCGTCTTCTTCTTCTTCTTCTTTCTTCTTCTTCTTCTTCTTCTTCTTTATATTTATTTCTCTTCTCTCTGCCAGCACTTATCGCTATTTTTTTTCTCTCTTTTTTTCTCAATATTATTTTTCCTCTTTTTTCTATAATCGTTCTTTCTTCTCCCATCCATATTGTCTTATTCCATACATTCTTAACTTCTCCTTTTCTATATCATCTTCTTCTTCTTCTTCTTCTTCTTCTTCTTCTTCTTCTTCTTCTTCTTCTTCTTCTTTATTTTATTTCTCTTCTCTCTGCCAGCACTTATCGCTATTTTTCCTCTCTTTTTTCTCAATATTATTTTTCCTCTCTTTTCTATAGTCGTTCTTCGACTCCCCATCCATATTGTCTTATTCCATACATTCTTAACCTTCCTTAATCGTATCTTCTTCTTCTTCTTCTTCTTCTTCTTCTTCTTCTTCTTCTTCTTCTTTTATATTTATTTCTCTTCTCTCTGCCAGCACTTATCCCTCTTTTTTTCCTCTCTTTTTTTCTCAATATTATTTTTTTCCTCTTTTTTTCTATAGTCGTTCTTTGACTCCCATCCATATTGTCTTATTCCATACATTCTTAACTTCTCCTTATATCTCTTCTTCTTCTTCTTCTTCTTCTTCTTCTTCTCTTCTTCTTCTTCTTCTTCTTCTTCTTTATATTTATTTCTCTTCTCTCTGCCAGCACTTATCGCTATTTTTCCTCTCTTTTTTTTTCTCAATATTATTTTTGCCTCTTTTTTCTATAGTCGTTCTTCGACTCCCATCCATATTGTCTTATTCCATACATTCTTAACTTCTCCTTAATATATCGTCTTCTTCTTCTTCTTCTTCTTCTTCTTCTTCTTCTTCTTCTTCTTCTTCTTCTTTATATTTATTTCTCTTCTCTCTGCCAGCACTTATCGCTATTTTTCCTCTCTTTTTTTTTCTCAATATTATTTTTTCCTCTTTTTTCTATAGTCGTTCTTTGACTCCCATCCATATTGTCTTATTCCATACATTCTTAACTTCTTAATATATCATCTTCTTCTTCTTCTTCTTCTTCTTCTTCTTCTTCTTCTTCTTCTTCTTCTTCTTCTTCTTCTTTATATTTATTTCTCTTCTCTCTGCCAGCACTTATCGCTATTTTTCCTCTCTTTTTTTTTCTCAATATTATTTTTTCCTCTTTTTTCTATAGTCGTTCTTCGACTCCCATCCATATTGTCTTATTCCATACATTCTTAACTTCTCCTTAATATATCGTCTTCTTCTTCTTCTTCTTCTTCTTCTTCTTCTTCTTCTTCTTCTTCTTCTTCTTCTTATATTTTATTTCTCTTCTCTCTGCCAGCACTTATCGCTATTTTTCCTCTCTTTTTTTTCTCAATATTATTTTTCCTCTTTTTCTATAGTCGTTCTTTCGACTCCCACCATATTGTCTTATTCCATACATTCTTAACTTCTCCTTCTTATATCGTCTTCTTCTTCTTCTTCTTCTTCTTCTTCTTCTTCTTCTTTATTATTTATTTCTCTTCTCTCTGCCAGCACTTATCGCTATTTTTCCCTCTTTTTTCTCAATATTATTTTTTCCTCTTTTTCTATAGTCGTTCTTTGGCTCCCATCCATATTGTCTTATTCCATACATTCTTAACTTCTTAATAATATCATCTTCTTCTTCTTCTTCTTCTTCTTCTTCTTCTTCTTTTTTTCTCTTCTTCTTTATCTTTCTCTTTTTTCAATTTATTTTTCTTCTCTTTCTATAGTTGCACTTTGATCCCATCATATTTTTTTCCATCTTTTTTTCTCAATATTATTTTCTTCTTCTTCTTTTTTTCTTCTTCTTCTTCTTCGTTCTTTTACTCCTCTCTGCCAGCATCCATTTTGTCTTTTTCTCAATACATTTTTTCTCTCTTTTCTATAGTCTTCTTTGACTCCCCTTTGTATTATTATTCCATCTTCTTCTTCTTCTTCTTCTTCTTCTTCTTCTTCTTCTTCTTCTTTTCTTCTTCTTCTTCTCTTTTCTTTCTCTTTGTTCTCTTCTTATCGCTATTTTTTCCTCTCTTTTTTTTCTCAATATTATTTTTCCTCTTTTTCTATAGTCGTTCTTCGACTCCCATCAATATTGTCTTATTCCATACATTCTTAACTTCTCCTTAATATATCGTCTTCTTCTTCTTCTTCTTCTTCTTCTTCTTCTTCTTCTTCTTCTTTATATTTTTTTCTCTTCTCTCTGCCAGCTCCCCATCAATATCGCTATTTTTCTTAACTCTCTTTTTTTTCTCAATTCTTCTTTTCTTCCTCTTCTTTTCTATAGTTCTTCTTCGACTCCCATCCATATTGTTTTATTCCATGCCATTCTTAACTCCACCATGTCTTATTCTCCTTAACCCCTAATATATCGTCTTCTTCTTCTTCTTCTTCTCCTTCTTCTTCTTCTTCTTTATATTTATTTCTCTTCTCTCTGCCAGCACTTATCGCTATTTTTCCTCTCTTTTTTTTTCTCAATATTATTTTTTCCTCTCTTTTCTATAGTCGTTCTTTGACTCCCATCCATATTGTCTTATTCCATGCCATTCTTAACTTCTCCTCTCATCGTCTTACCTTTTCAAGCAATGTTCTTTCATCTTCTCCTTGTGACCTCTTTAGTCTTTACAAGACACAAGCCCCACATTCACCAATTTACGATCTGTTTGCGTGGGCCCAGACATGAAACGCAACTGTCACTGAACGGTGTGTGAAGTAACACCAAATGCATGCACACGTCTAACGCTTCCTTGCACTTTGGCACCTGGTCGTCGATGTACAAGTGAATCTTAAAGACGAGAATCAAGATTCACCTGCTGTGGGAACTGAAATGCGTCAGATTATGACACCAAAATTGGCACGAAGAGATTTGTTGCTACCCGTGTTTTTTATGACGAAATATTCACATCTAAAACCAAAACAATTTCATTGTGATTTTTTTTTTTACTTTAGGAACATGGTTAACAGCAAAAGTATGCAAATTACAGAATACTTAATTCAAGCAGTTACAGAAATTTAAATAAAGTGAAAGTGACGAAAAGTGCGGCACTGAAATCCGAAGACGTACTGGGATGGCCAAAGATGCATTCCAAAAGCTAAGCAGAGTATTAAGAGACAGGAAAATTTCGTTAGCAACAAAGAAAAAAATATTGAACTGTTACGTGATATTTACCCTCCTTCATAGCAGAAAATGCTGGGCAATCACCTCAAAGATGAATAAGTGATTTGAGGCAACAGAAATGTGGCTCTACAGAAGGATAATGAGGAAACCATGGGCCGAATATGTATGCAACAACGAGGTTTTGGAGAGAATGGAAGCAAAAAGAAAATTGATATATAACATCAGCAAGAGGTAGTTGAAACTTCTGGACACGTAATGAGGAAAGAGGGCTTGGAAAATCTGACACTCACGGGACAGATTGAAGAAAAGAGGGACAGAGGAAAGCCTCGCGTGACGTACTTGATGGGCTTAAGTAAATGGATGAAAGAACAGGGTTTGGGAAAAATAACAAAAAGACACAATTTATTAAGAGCTGCAAGGGGCAGGAAGATATGGAGGGCCACGATCGGCTACGCCTTGAAGGGACACGTCATATAAAAGAAGGAGAATTTCTCATCTGTCTGAGAAATGATTACATTTCATATCAATATTCATCACTCTACTTATATACACTACAGACCAAAGCTTAAGGGACACCTTCTAGATTTCGATGAATCGCCTAAAAATTGAAATTTGAGGGCTTTTTTTCAAATCAAAATCCCTAGTTCACTTCGGGCCGAAGGGACTTTTTCTTCCTGGAGGATTTTCTCATATATTCAATAATAATAATGATAAGAATACACACAAACAGAACAATCAAAGCTTATCACTCAGGCATTGTGATTAGTGACCTCAAAAACAAAATATGCTTTCTTATTGACATGGTAATCCGTGCAAAGCGTAATGTATCTTTGAAGATCTTCAAAGTAAAAGGAGCATGAAATCGAAATCTCGAAAATGTGGTACGTGAGGACATCAACAATTCCGGTTGTATTTGGAGACATCCGTTTGATTGGAAAACATTACGAGAGATTCAATGAAGATTAAAAAAAAATGTACTCACAAGTACAACACACACCTTACGAAGGGCTCTATCTATATACAATGTGTGTGGTCTTAAGTTGTTTTTTGCTTGTTTTTTTTTTGTTTTTTTTTTTCAATACAAGCTCAATGAAAAATGTCATAGTACCATTTCTCATCTTTTATCTCTGATTGGTACCTGGAATGAGTATACACCAGAATTCAAAGGAAATA